AGCAATGAAACAAGTGCGGCTGTGAAAGTCTTAAACAAAATAAGTGTTCATATGATGGTGAGGGTCTGAGAAACACCGGTCAGAAAGTCGTGCTGCAAACTGATCCTATTGCACAGGTGGTATAGGATTAATTCATGTGACTTTTATACAGGAGACTGATAAAAATTCGCACTCACCAGATGCGCATAGTAAAAGCGCAATATGTTGAACCATATATTGACCAAGGATCTGCAGGAAGCCCCCTTTAGATGGACCAGACAGACAGCATGGGAAGAGACTCCCTCCTCTGGATATGAGACTGCTCTGCAACCCTAATCCTACTGGAGTCCTGGAATTCATTAGCTTGTATCAGCCTTTTACAATCCCCTGGGCAGCAAAGCTCAGACAGTCTTCTTCTTTTCCACTGTCCAATCACAGGCTTAGGCACAGACAAGACCTGGCTGTATTGTTAAACTGCAGAGTCATGGCTCTTGCTTTTTTGCTAGTCTTTATTTCAGGGGACTCCTGCACAGAGGCAAAGTTTCACAGTGGATTACTGCACAGATCTTTGCAGCTCCATCCAGAGTGGGAACCAGTGAGAACCATGAAGAGGAAGGCCAGTCACCGAACCTCTTCCATACACCCCTAGCTCATAAATAAGCTCAGCGCCCCCTAGCAATACATCCACGTCCAACAGAACACACAGTGAGCACAGCCATCAAAAAAATTAGCATTTTTTATTTTTGTCCAAAAGATGAACTTATCCGTTCAGGTAATGTGGTTCATTTGTTAATATTGTTTTAAAGTTTGTTCTCTAATAAGCCTGTAGCCAATAACTGCTACATTTAAGTAGGGCGAAACCACGCTCTTATGTGTTTGTTGTCCCCAATATTTTCGGTGGCCTGCTACCACACCATACAAGAATGTAAATCATGACCAAGTGTAAATAGATTAATTATGAATTCTAAGTCACAAATTGAACTACAAATCACATATACATGGTGTTCATTAACATTTTCATTTTATCAGTACCAATTTAGACATTACCCGGCTTCCATTTTTGATCTCATGCTTTGCATACAAAGTAACAGCTTCAGGGCACCGATCCAGAAGTCTTTCTATTGAGCTCTCGTAGTTCAGAAGGCGAGTTGCACATATAAGGTGTATGCTCAAATGTGAATTTAATTCTTGTGGTATGAAATCCAGAAATGGGAGGAATGATGCAATTTCCAGAGATGGTCCACAGAGTAGAGACTGCATGCGAACAGACAATAAGTGCATGACTGATTTTCTTCCTACTGGTTTACACAATCACAAATTATTACCACCAACAACCACTGCCACATTTTATCACTTTTATTGGTACTCAGACATGTATTAGGCTACGTTCACACTAGCTTTGTGTGCAGGCAGCAGAGAGGCGTTTGGGAAGCGTTTTTACCGCTTCCCAAACGTCTCTGCCAATTCTGCACATTACAGCACATGGTGCTGTTCTAACGGGAGCGTTCGCGTTGCGTCAAAACGGACGCCTCTGGTCAAGTCAGGAGGCGTTGAAGCCTCCTATTCTCGTCTATGGTGCCATTCCGCAAATGCCCGGCCAGCATTTGTGGTGGCGACGCAGTTGGGGGCGTTTACGGAGCGGTAACACCGCTCAAACTGCATTATAGGCATTTGTGGGGCGTTATTAACGCTCGGCAAACGCCTAGCAACCGCCACTAAACTGCGCATGCGGCATTTGCGGAGCGTTTGCCGAGTGTTAAAAAAACGCTCCGCAAACGCCGGACCAACGCTTGCCAAACACTATAGGGGAGTTTGGCAAGCGTTGGTAAAACAGCCAAGTGTGAACGAGCCCTTAGGTATGGGATGATTGTAAAGGTAGTGTGGCAAGACAAAGCTGACTGTGTGTGGTCTAGAAAGCAAAAAAGCTGACATTGCTGAACATCAAAAGTTAAAAATGGACCATATAACTCTGCAGATATGTATAGTCTTAGATGATAGGTATGATTGTGACTGTTTCTTTTTGTAAAGGAAAAAAAAAAAAAAAACACCTATTTATAGGGACAGATACCTGTACATAAAGCAAATTAATGTTGTTAAGATGATGCTGAAGAAGGCCCTCTTTCTCAACACCCACGTGTAGGAGTACATGGCCTGAGATGCATTTGCTAGCAAGCCAGCCCCTTTTCTGTGATTCAGACAGCCACAGACCACAGAAATTCAAAAAATGCCACCCAAAACATTTGTATTGTTTTGGCCAGGATGGTGAAGGGTTACAAGCTTTCAAGTATATCCAGTTTGCGGTGTCCCCACAAGTCATGAGAAAGCTAAAATTTTACAACTGACTCTGGAAAAGGCATCTTTTGTTGCCTTCTCTTCATACAAGTCTACTCAGTGAAGATTCACAGTGCCCATTTACAAAAACAGAATTTAAAGACTATCAAAATAGGGAAAAAAACAGTGAGCGCTAGTCCTGATAGCGGCTAAGCACTCTAAGCAACCGATATATACTTAAAATAGAATAACATAAAAATAGTGCAGCGCTATGAGTAGTGATAATAAAACAGGTAAGAGTCAACTTAAAGTCTTAGTCAATAGAACGTGTCCAGTGACAAGTAAGGATTCAAAGTTGGTGATCCGTGTGGAAATGGCTGAAAAACGCACTCACCAGAACAAAGTCACATAAACGCAATTTAAAGACTGTTGACTAATGAAAGAAAAAATTCAATGTGCTGGTATTTTTTCCATGGAGATTTCCCTTTTATAGAAACAAGCAGTTTTAACATCATCATATAGCAACCAAAGCCTTATAGATCACTCATGAGAATTTAGCAACATTAAAAGAAGCTAGGTTACCTATGAAGTACAAAGGATAACCTTTGGGACATTCAAAGAGACATTTATCAGTAGGTTTGGTAGCATTTGAAAAGGATCCTCTGATTGTCTGCTCCTTTCAAAAGTTGCAACTCTTGTACCTATGAATTTAAGAGTGCAACATCCTATCAAAAAGAAATAATTGAATCTCGAAGTGGAACCCAAAGTAAGCAATACATTTTATGGATAACCAGTGAAATACCTTCCAGGTTTAGACAGATAGGTTCGTTGTTTTTCTTTTTTAAGATAGAGGCTGAGTAGCAGCCTGGGACAAGTCAGCCTGGCACTAAGGCAGGAGTTCACCTCAGTACAGGCTGGGAGGTTTTACAGGTCAGGGCTTCTGGAGCCTTCCAACCGTTCCAGAAACTGAGAGAACTTTCTGGAACAGGGGTGGAGAAGGCCCAGATCTGCATGTTAAAGGAACCTTGGTCAATCCCTTGGCAGGAGGCTGGGCATGGTGACTAAGGACAACCTTTAAATATGACAGAGCCTTGGGAGGAGGTAGAGTGTCAGGTGGAAGATGGACTGAGAGGAAGGCTGGAGTGAGGATCTTGGAAGGGGGCCCCAGGGAGGAGGCTACCTACAGACAGGAGGATCTCTGCTGCCTCAACATCTCCTCGGGAGGACAACCTGTGCAGTAGGGAAGGAGCCAGCCCAGAGTAAGAACTGAAGGCAGCCATCAACCCACCAAGCAAACAAGAAAAAGGACAGTGCAAGTACTCCTACACCCCCTGGACCAGATAAGGGGAGAGGGGGGTCAGGTGTAATACCCAACTAGTTCTCATCCAAGACTGCTTAATTGACAGATCTTGGGACCCCTTGCCCAGAGATACCTTCAGTGAAGCTGGGTGAAGAGAAGGATTCATCCTGGGTCTGAGGAGGTACGCCAAAGGAGCTTTAGTGCTCCTCATCTGGGATTTTCTTTGGTCTGAATGTTTGTACATCGTTGCTAAGAAGTTGTCCTCAAGTTCTACAGTTCCTTAGGCATCCCATATACCCCATCCAAGGTGTAACCTCTTAATAACAAAAACTAAAAACCAGCTCAAGGACTGTTTACTAACTACAACTGTACAAGTGTGGAAAGTGCATGTTGCCTGGTCGTGCAACACTTAGGGGGACCCAAACCTCAGCAACTCCAGCGAGGGTAGTGCTACACCCACTAAAATCATCAGGAGTATTTAAACATCTAGCTTCTATATTAGGTTCAGAAAGCCCCTCCCACTGTACCTACATTTACTATTTGCATAGTTTATACTCCATTACTGCAGGAAATATAGAAAGCATAGTGGACTGATGTTTTTAGCCTCAGATTCAGTGTCAACTAGAAACTAAGGAATTGAGAATCTATGCAGATATAGCTATAAGTGCAGTAAGCTGCACAAGATGAATGCAAATGGAAATTAGAGTTCATTAGCAACTCAGCCACAAGTAAAAATATTAAGTATTTATATCTGACTGAATAAACTGTACCTTTAAACAGGCGTCATAAAATTAACTGTGGATAAAAGTCAAATGTGTAAGTCTCACGTTTCTGTATTGCTCAGGAAACAAAAAGTGGTAGCTGTGCAAGCATAACACAGCGGCAGAAAATAAATGTCCATCCTGACTATTGTTTGGGCAGGGAGATTGGTTGTTCTCTATACCAATTATGTTCAGTTCAGGTAGAAAAAGAAATTAAGAGCCAAAACATGGGCTCCACTACCCAACAGCACCAAATAACCATATAATCCCTTCAGAAATATTGAGCTTGAAAACTGCCTTTTCTATTAATTCTAAATTCTTAAGCCAGTACAGGTGGTAACAAAGGCTTTACTTAAGAGCAAATAAAGCAACGCACAAATTATATACCTGTAACTTTATCAAATCTCCACACAAAATATATACCTGTAACTTTATCAAATCTCCACACTGGTCACATGATGATGGCCCTGAGGAAACCATCTTTGATACCCATGGACTGATCACTCCAAAATGGCTGCAGGAATTTCTCTACAAACACAAGCATTGTTTTTAGTATACAAACACACAACATGCATTCATCCATCTATTTATCTGAATGCATGTTCCTAGTAAAAAAGTAGGTATGTATATTTAAGAAATGTATCCCCTACCACCTAGTAGATAAAAAGAAAAAGGATGGTTGTGAGCCATTAACTCACCAGGTCCTCTGCACTTTTCAAGGATTTGACGCATTCATGCTGTGGTTTGCATATTCGACATACATAATGAGATGTAAGTTTAAACAGAATGTCTTGAAGAATGGAGTCTGGAGGATACGAGGAAAGACGGGCCTCCCAAAAATCTACAAGCATTTGTGGAACCTCATTGTCATCGCATTTTTCACACAAAACCTAAATAAAAGTAATAATGAATTAAAAACTTCAAGCAAAAAGAAAAATGCATTTTCAAACATATAGTCACTATATACTTAATAAAGTGAAAAAAAAAAAAACACTACTGCTCTTTGCCACCTATTTAACTTAAAGTAACCTCTGAAAAAAATCCTTAAAGCTGGCCATAGATGGACAAATATTGGCTGGTTCAGCAAGGACCGGCTGAGATGGAATCCATCTATGAGCAGGCTAGTTGTACTAAAGTCAATCCATTCGATCAACTTCAGTACAACCAGCCTGTTAGATTTTTTGCATGTAAATACTGCCAGTGGCTACAGCCATTAGCAGTAATCATTGTGTTCTTCCACCACCTGTGGTGGAAGCAAAGAAAATTGTATCATCTATGGATTGCCTTAGCCCTTTTGTTTTTCAGTTCCCAGCATGTCATGAGAGAACACTTTGTCAATACAAGCTTGAAGCTGTTTCACCAACATTTGTGTCCATTTTGTCAGTCAGTCAGTGTTGATGGGAAAATAGAGTTGTTGCAGGAAATAAAATTGCATTATCCATGACTTGCCTTAGGCTACAATTACGCAGCAGTTTAGAAGCTGCCAGGAACGGTTGTAAACCACTGCTTGCACACACTGTGTGCAAACAATTGCAGCTGTCAGATTTGTAACTCTTGCAGGTACAGCTGCTGTTGGCATGTGAATAGAGCCTCCAACTGACCCTGGATGCAGCTAGTGTGGTCCAGGGTCAGTGTTTGTATGTGGCCATAGCACAGAGTGTTGCTTTCTTCCAGAGACAGCATTTATCTGCCTCTGTACACATCAAACTATCTGCTGCTAAACTGCCCATGGTTTTTCATGCAAGTTAGCTGTGCTTTCCCATAGACATCTACTCCTTGCATGCTGCATCTTTGGTGCACTTTCTGAAACTGCACCAAAACCGTGGAACATCATAGACGTCTATGGGAAAGCACAGATAACCTGCACAAAACCCATGATTTAGCGTAGCTTTGTACAAAGCACAGCAGGACCACATTGGGAAAGAGTGAAGGCACCCTAAGGCTAGGATCACACAATTGCAGATGTGGGAGCGTCTGTAAATCGCACAAGCTCCCGCATCCACAGCCAAAATGTCCTCCTCTTTAGCAAACACTTGGGGTGTCATTCATCCTTAATGGCTCCCCATGCATCTGAAAACATTGCGTTTTTTCAGGTGCGCAAAACTGAATGGTGCCAATTGGTGAATTGGCACCAAGAGGTTCTGTGTGGCTGTCCTGCAGGTGTGTTTTGGAAAAGTGTCAGGGGCCTTTTCCCTGCATTTCCCACAGGTACAGTAGCCAATTCAAATTAATGGGCTGATGTGCCCACACAAATGTGAGCCTCACCACCCACAATAGTGTGAACCTAGTCTAAGACAGTCTGAAAATAGTGCATACACCTGCATGTACCTATATTACTTAATTATACAAGTGTCCCACTGGACTCCTGAAACCCCAGGAGCTCCAATATGTAAATCTCAACTTTCTTTGAAAAATATCAAGGGCTGGCTCTTCTGCAACACCCTACTGGTTCTTTTTAACTGACAGCCAACCTCAGTGGCCAATAATACTGTTAAAATTTAGATTTACAAATGTGCAGGTAACTGCAGCCACACATTGAACATGTAGAGAGAAAGAATGTAGGCTAATATTGCTGCTGCTCTCCTTTTAAAAATGCTAGTTACCCAAGCATTGTTTTGAACCAAAGCCTTTCAAAGGCTTCAATGCTTTCTGAGTTGCTGACTTAGAGCAAGTATGCAGATCAGAAGCTCTAACTGTATGCAAGCCCAGGGACAATAACTCAAATGACAGACTCTATGGGGAAGATTTAATAAACTTGGTGCACACAGAATCAAAGCTTTTTGAACAAGATGAGGTAAGAAGCTGATTGGTCACTATGAAAAGCTGCACCAGATTCTATGTGCACCAGTTTTAGTATATCTCTCCCACTGGTTCTCTCATTACAGATTTCAATTAAAGAAACTTCCACGATGCAAAGTGTTAAAGTGGACTTGCAATACAAGCAAAGTGCACTTATCTATTGAGGTCCCTCTTCCATGCCAAACATCTGCACTAAAATCACTTAGGCTCCATGCACACTAACCATTTTTGTTTAAGCTCAAAAAACACTGGAAAACAAATGCTGGATAAAAGACACTGATAACAGCGCCTTTTAGTAGAGTTTAGAAGCGTTAGTGTGTTATTAACGTTTTTACAGAACATGTAGAAAAAAAAAGGAAGGAAAAACTAGTAGTGTTTAGGGGCATTTAGGAGCATTCAGCTTTTTTTCCAGCTAGAAAAATACTCCAAAACAATCTACAAAAAAACGATTATTTTTCTGCTCCTAGAAGCTGAAGTTCAAAAAACATGAATAACCTAAAGTAATGTGAATGGACACATAAGACAGGACTATGTAGCTTCCAGGAGCAGAAAAAATGCTAAAAAAAACGCTTCTAGGAGCTTAAAAAAAAAAATGCTAGTATGCATGGAGCCTTAAAGATAAAAAAAAAAAAAAAAAAAAAAACAAAAACAAACACGAGTTAGAAACAAAGTTAGACTTTCTGATGTTATGACTTCAACATTGTCTGCATCAGTGATATGAAACGATGATACAGAGGCATATCATAGAAAAATTACTGAAATCAGACAGTCAGGCAACTTGCATTTTCAGAAGGAGGCCTACGACTTCAACCCATATACTTTTCCCATGACAAAGTCAATTTGACACTGATGTGAAATTTCATCTGGTGAGTGCACACATGGACAAAGTAAATGCATTTACATCCTTAAATCACTAAAAATTAGATTATTCTTAAGGGGAACCTGTCGTGAGAAAGAGGCTGGATTACTTTTAATTCAAAAAGCCAATGCCCATTCCTGGACTAAGCCATGGCTACCACCTAAATTTTTTTAACCCTTAACAGAATTCCTAAATTCTCCATTAAAACCCCTATTTTGAAAGCAGTGGTATGGCCTTACTGCTGATTTACACACATTTATAAAGCACTGCACTAAGCAGATTGCTCCATTTTATCGTGCACATACCTCCTAACTTTTTGAGATGGGAACGAGGGACACCTGTCCGCAAAAAAAATGTAGGCATAGGACAACCCCCTGCCACGTCCCCTTAAAGGAGAATTATACAAAAAATGATTAGTTAAACCTACAAGTGCTTTTTTTTTTTTTTTTACCACTATTTTTCCTTTATACTGGCTTTTGAAATTTACAAAAGCAGCAATTTAGAAATTGGATGAAAGGTTTAGCACTGGGAAACACTTTTTGAAAGATAAAAAGAGCATTTTATATACAACTATACAGATCAGATGAAAATGAGGACCAAATGAGAAGGAAAGAGGGACAGAGGGACTTTGTTAAAAATCAGGGACAGTCTCTTGAAATCGGGGACAGTTCGGAGCTATGTGTGCAGACTACTGTCTGTTTTACCTGGCAATGTGATGCACAGTTTCAGGGACATCACTGTTTTCTATGTTTCCTTTGAAGGTCCAAAAAAATAGCAGTCACTGCACATGGTGTAAAGGGAGAAACGTACTACATGCAGACTTTCAAACAAACAAGCAGCATGCCATTTATTCAAATGAACGAAGAAAAAAAAAGAAGAAGGGGGAGCAGGAAGGCCAGGTCATCTTATTCATCACAGTCAAGTGACTCAGTTTCTCTGAAGGGATGTGCATAAAGAACTCTATGGGACACTGAAGGCTCCACATCATGGCCTGTTATTTTTTAATTATTTGTAAAATGCAGAGCATGGTATATAGAGCAAATGCTGTGGTGTTCAGCAGAGAGTACACTATTATAATTGGGCTTCTGAATGTGCTCAGTGTTTGTTAAATGCCTGATATAACCAAAGGGTTTTATATGACTAAAATAATGTGATAATCACAAAAGGATGCTTTCTTTTCTACAGAATTACTGAACAGGAAATCTTCCCATGTGTGATTATACATGCTCTGCTCCGATATTCTTCTGAAACATTTTTCTATAATCATCCATGACTTATTACAATGTATTTTCCATAAACCTGCTTTTAGTTTGGTGGCCCTTTAGAATGGAAAACATTATTACACTGAAGTCTATAGATAAGAAAAAAGTTGCAATAATTACAGCAATCACACCTTAAAAAATAACTCTGCTTCCTTCAGATTAATTTTACTGTTTTCATGAAAAGCCACCAAGGCAGCGATAAGAAGTCCAGCCAAGGTGTCTCTTAAGTGAAATGCCATCCTTGTAGGAATGATCTCTTTGTTCTTGCGTGTCATTAACAGGCGGGGCTCCTCCAGAAAACCATACAACAGTAGAATCTGCAGAAACATTTTTGAAAAGTGATCAATAGATATAATGTACTTAAGTTTGAATTTCCAAAAACGAAAAACCAAGACACAAAAACTGTGGTCTTCAAAAAATGCAACTCACCTGATAAATCCTTATACAGTATTTGTATTTAAAGTGATTCTAAAAAGGCATAATTTAACCACTTGCCTACCGGGCATTTTACCTCCTTGGTGCCCAGGCCAATTTTCAGCTTTCAACGCTGTTGCACTTTGAATGACAATTGCGTGGTCAGGCAATACTGTACCCATATGAAATTTGTATCATTTTTTCATACAAATAGAGCTTTTTTTTGGTGGTATTTAATCATCACTGGATGTTTTATTTTTTCCACTATAAACAAAAAAAGAGCAAAACATTTGAAACAAAAAAAAAGGGTTTTTTTTTGTTTCTATTATAAAATTTAGCAACAGGTAATTTTTCTCCCTCACTGATGTGCGTTGATAAGGCTGCACTGATAGGCGGCACTGATGAGGTGGCACGGATAGGCAGCACTGATGATACTGCACTATATGCAGCAATGATGGGCACTGAGGGACACGGACGGGCAGCACTACAGTCACCAGTTATCAGCAGTACTTTCCTCATGCTGTGACAGCGTGAAGAAAATGCTGCCATTAACCAACAACTGTACAGTATTCATGTCATTGGACACAGCTGATCACGTGGTAAAAGGCCGCTGTAATTGGCCTTTTACCTCATACGAGGAGATCACCGTGTGCGCACCGCTGAGGGCACATGGGAGGGCGCATTCTGGGAGGACGTCATATGACGCCCTCCCAGAACTGGACAACTGCACTTTAGCCATCATTCGGCTATAGCACAGTTAAAAAATTAAAATAAAAACAAAACAAAAAAAAACAGCAAACCATCTCTATACTTACCTGCTCTGTGTAGTGGTTTTGCACAGAACAGCCCGCATCCTCCTCTCGGGTCCCCCCGCAGGCTCTCCTGGCTGCTCCCTCCTGTCAGGTACCCCCAGCAAGCAAGCAGCTTGCTATGGGGGCACCTGCTGCTCCATGAGTACATTCACACACAGAGCTGCAGCTTGGCCATGTATTCTCTCTCTTCTCATGGTTGACAGCAGCGGGAGTCAATGGCTCCCACTGTTGTCTCAGCCAATGAGAAGGAGTCTTGGGATAGCCAAGTCTCCAGTGCATATCTCTGGACTGAGAGGAGTGTTGGGGGGGGGGGGGGGGCTGGGGAGGGATACTGCACGCAGAAGGTTTTAAAAAAAAAAAAAAACCTTCAGCCTTTACAACCACTTTAAGACATATGTAGCACCCTGCCAAAAGTTAGGCTAAAGCTAGTTTTTTTGCTTCACTGTAGTCAGTAGAGTGGAGATATCTTTATTTTTGGGCAGGTTTACCCAAGGTCAGTGGTTGCTCCTGTCTGCTTTGGGGGGGGAGTTTCCAGAACATATAGTAAGAAGATCAACCACTGATTTATGAATATTTATCAGACCCCAGCCGTTCCCTGGGAGGGGGCACCCAGAAGGTGGTTAAGGAAGGTGATAAATGTTTGGGATACCTGAACAGAGTGTTCTTCCTTGGCTAAGAGGGCTCCTCTTCTCCTGAGGCTGCTGCCCCTGGAAGGCACAAAGTTTGAGCCAGAAGTTGCAGTTTGGGCCTCAGCAGTTGCTGCACTAAGAGGCCTGGAGAAGATCACTAAAGGATTTTGGCTGGAGGGCATGGTTCTGAAGTCCTGATCTGGAGAAGGATCTTATGTTGCCATCACTGAAGAGTGTTGTGTGGAAAGCTGGGGGGCAAAACCTGGGTGTGGGAATTTTGTGTGTCTGTTACTATAGAAATTTGTGCTAAGAATTCTGTCCTATTAATTCCTGATATAGTTTTTGGAGTATCCTGTACCCCCTCTATCCATTCCCAGGTCTCTGCAATAAACAAAAAGACATCCCCTAGACTGAGCTTGTGTTGTCAGTGTGTATGGAACCATGTCTGTGACAGGCAGCCTCTATACTACCTTGGGAGAATCTGTCTATTTCCAGAAACCCCTTTGGGTGAGAGAGAAAAACCTAGCACTGGAAGCACACTCTTCCCCACATGAGCTTGGACAGTGCACTGTGCCTTGCTTCCTCTAAGCCATTTTATTCTGACCAATGATCCTGCACTGTGGTTGTCTGTGTAAAGCAACTCAGCATAGCCTATGCTGCTGGTGGATAGATCCAAAGCAGTCTCGCTCATTGATTGACATAAGGTGTCTGGGTATTTACATGAGCAGTACTGCAGTTCATGATTCTGCAAAAACACTTCCCACGTTTTTATTTTATATTTATTTTTATGCATGTTGCACACAGGGCAGCCCATTTACTTGAATAGGCTGCCCTACTGGTGCCAAAGAAGTTCCTACACTTTTTTGGGTGTGGAGTTTCATGCTCTGTAATGCATTTGTCACCTGGCAAAACGTGCATTTGCTAATCACATCTGGGGTGCACTTAATTTATGGCATCCAAAAGAACATTGCGCCATTATTTTAGTGAGATCTGTAATTGCTGGCAGAATCACGCAATTCTGCCCATGATTGCAATGCGCTATTGTATAAATGGGGCCTTAGACCCATCCACATGATTAGTTAGCCAAGCTTGCTGGGACAATTTGTGAAGTAAACTGCAGTGATATCACCAACAGGTTGTCTGTACAAGAGATTTTTTTTCATTTTGAAGATACAATGCATAGTAAAAAAGCAAACAAAACCACAAAATTATATAAATTATTTATGCAGCTATTTCTATTACTGCCCAGTTCTGCTTTTTTTTTTTTTTTTAAAGGGAGCCTGGAATTCAGTTTTTCACCCTGAAAAATGTGACACATTGAAGAGTATGGAAATTTTAACAAAAAAACTTTCATGTACTGAATGACACTTATCTGTAGTTTATAGAAATACAAACTGATAATCTTTTATGCTGTGAAAGGAGTGCTCCACTCCTCCCCTCCTTAAAAAATTGGGTAGTCCTTTGGACTGACTCTTTGCACTATCTATTCAATACATTACTGAAGATCATTTCAGAAGACACAAAAAAAGGAGTACATATACCCAGTCATTCTGGAAACACTGCTTACAAACTGCACAAGTATTCTACACCAGCCTTTCAACGAGGGTGTCTTCAGGTTTATTCAGGGGTGCCTTGTTAAAAATGCATAAAAAGTGTCCAAATGATATTTCATGCTTTGGCAGATGTCACCAAATAGTTTGTTTTCTATAAGACAAGCATAGTGGGATTTCTGCACCCAAGCCTGCACACCTTCTTCAGCCATTGTGGTTCTATGCCCTAGGGGAATCGGTCTTTCTGTAACCACTCTACTCTTATTCACCCCCCCCCCACACACACACACACTTACTTAATAAAGTAAAGGTATGTTTACTTCAACCATTTGATCATGTGAAAGAAAATAAAATCCCATTTGTTCAACTTTCCTTGACTAGAGTAGAGGAGCACAGCTGCATCCTATTTGTATCTAATGTAAGATTAACTTTGCTTAAGCTGGCCATAGCTGGATCACATCTCAGTACAACCAGCTTGCGATCACAGTCGTTGGCTATAGCAGCCAGCAATAATCATTGTGTTCTGCGGACAGATAAGGATTCCCACCAGAACACAATAGAGCTGCAGGAGGGATTTTCCCATCAACACAGACTGTGTTGATGGGGGAATCAAGTGATTTTCTTTCCTTTCACCCATGGTGAAAGGAAAACCAGAACCGATCGGAAATATGTCAACGCATTTCGCCCCACCCACAAGGCGTTCTCAAGACGAACGCCCTTGAGAACGTCCTGTGGTGGGGCGAAACGCGTTGACGTATTTCCGATCGGTTCCCCGAACGTCCGACGTCATTTCCAGTGAGTGGAACGCACGCCGAGGGATGTGTTCCAGGCGGTCATTTTTTTGGACTAGTAAAGAAAGTTTGTAAGAAAGATCGTAAGAAAGTTTGTTTGTTATGGAGGCTGTCATCCTGCTGTGTACAAGGCTGTGAGTTCCTAGGAGCTGTGGAAATTCGTATTTGTTACTCGAAAATTCGTTTGATGTCCTTAAATAAATGCTGGTTTTTATCCTTTGAAATGTGAGTGGTTTGGCATGAATAAATTATAAAAGGGGTATAACAGTATTACACTATTAGTTTTTTTTCTCCCTTTGGAACTTGGTGGTGTGGCGAGGAGACGAATGAAGAATCACCCATAGATCTGAGGTGGAAAATAGAGGAGTCCTCAAAGGGGGTCCAGGAGCCCTAAATAATCCTGAAAGGTGTTTTGATGTCTCACCTCTGAATGACGCTTCATCTCGGCTTCATACTTCTGAAGATCATGGATTCTCAGTGCCATGGTTGCCTTTGTAAGGGAAATTACAGCTGGACACGCCACAGACTCTAATTTTTCTAGGAAATCCATTGATTTTACTGGGCACACATTAACCATGCAAGGACTGGATAACACATTAGGCAGCTGTTGTGGTTCTGTAGCTTTAAATATGTGCAATACTTCAAAGCTGCTTCCTTAAAACAGAATAAAGAACAAACACCTTTAGATCCATAAACCCCAAACAACCTCAATGGTAAACTTTGCAAACAAATTTCACAGAATGGCTTTCAACAAAACATATCCCCTCCTGGGGCTCCTTAGCCTGCACTCCTCCAAAATGACAAATTGACTATTTACATGTGCCATGTAAACTACAGTCAATGAGTCACCAGTAAAGAAACATTAACCTGCCCTAAATTCCTTGATATACTAAATAAGTAAAGGACATTTCACTCATCTGTTACAGACTACAGCTCCTAGTTTAGTTTTTGCAAATTACTGTAAATTAATTTCCTTTAAAATGGTTTTACAATCCTGTTCAACTATACAGGTTTTGTTGATATTCTGTCTCTATCATTTAAAGTACACCTATAATAAATATTATATACTCTTCATTTCTATGTAAGTGGGAAAACTTACAAAATCTACAGGGGCTCAAATAATTAATTTTCCCCACTGTACTGATAGCAATGCATTAAACAAAAAAAAGATGTATACTTCACTCAGTTGTTCCTCCAGTTCTTCACAAAGAGAATGTTTGAGGTAGAACATGAAGCCTTTCCCGTACTCCTGGGAAAAATCTTTGGAAAGAAAGCGATCTATAACGTCGGACACAGATAGGCAGGACATCTTGTAGTAAGGAAGTGCCAGATGGGATTTCTTGGTGTCCAATCTGAAGATTGAGAACGTTATGGATAAAAACAAACCATTAGTTGTATTTTAAAATTTTATACAACTTTTAGGGCTAAAACTAAACTGAATTAACGGCCATCCTTCCCATCTCTTTCTGTTCTCTACAGACATTTAGTTAAGCTGGTCAGCCAGTTCCTAATGAAAAAGTTGAAATTTGCTCAGTGTTGGCCCTGTTGTCTGCCTCCCGTCTAAACTGCCTCGACTGAAAAATTAAAGGAGCTGTATGGAAAACTGTTGGACAAAAAGAGGCTGCATCCAATCAGAGGCAGCTGCTGTTCAGGTATTTTGACAGTCAGCAGGGCTGTTTGTCAAAACACAATTGTTCACAGTGGGAGATTCATCCATCCATGCTGTAAACTGTAGTTGGAAGAATATTTTGTTTTTTTAATTCAGCCTGCAAGCTGAACAAAAATAAGCAATCGGTGTATGACCAAGCTTTGAAGAGAGATCATCTGCTTCTGCTTCTGTTGCTGCTTAGAGCACATGTAATTATGAACCAGTAGATAATCATCCACCATTGCTACAGTAAAAACTGCCATGCACAGTAATGTCACTAATGCGGACCATGCCAAATATCACTTTAGGCCTACAGATACTGTAACAGCAGTCATATTTGTGAAGACTAAACATCAGCAAAGAATTAATACTCATACAGTATATGCCAAGTAATACATTTGTTTTGTTTTTTTTTAATTAAAACCAAAAAGTCTTAAGGCATATCAAAACCCAACAACAAAAATGTAATAACTTAGGTGCTAAAAACCGTCCTAAAAGATGTGGTGGCTGTGGCTACATACAGTATACGCTAGGCCAATCACGGAAAGCGATGTATTCTACTAATGAGTACAAAGCCTGCTCGGATTGGCTGAGTCAGAGAGGTGGGCTGATGATGTCACAAACTCAGCCAATCCGAGCAGGCTTTGTATTCATTAGTAGAATACATCACTCGCCATGATTGGCCCAGCGTATACTGTATGTAGCCGCAGCTACCGTACATACACACATTCACCGGGCTGATTACCACAGGGATGTACCTGTATCTTTTGAGCCAGCTTGGCTCAGCACGGTATACTGTATGTACAGTATTACCGCACATCCAGCTGGCTGACAGATTAATCTGTCATAGGGACATTCATTGTGAGCCATCTTGGCTCAGCACGGTATACTGTATGACCAGTATTTCTGCACATCCACCGGGCTGACAGATTAGGGACGATCGTTTTGAGCCAGCTTGACCCAAACGAACTAAATATTCACATTGTATGCCCTGTGTATAAGACAACTCCCAATTTTGGGGGTATATTTTTAAGTATAAAAAAGTCGTCTTATATGTCGGAAAATACGGTACTGAGTTAACAAACATGGCGTGATCCTTTGCACACACACCATAATACTATTTTAACCAGTTTCAGACTTGGGCATGCTATACACACACCTCTAAAAAAAAAAACAAAAAAAAAAAAAAAAAAAAAACACAAAACAAAAAAAAAAACCTCTTTCATCATTGTACATAGCACATGCGTGGTACATCCGGTCTCTCTGCCCTGTTGCTGGGACTTGCCTCACCCTCCAGTATACAGCAATTGCCAGCCTTGAATAATCAAAGCCGGGAGTGCTGTGTAAACGCCTCTGCTCAGATGCAAATATAAGACGATACAAAGTAACAAAGTGTTACTTTAGTATCATTCTATTCATTTATCTGCAAATCAAAGAAATATACTAGATCTACACTTACATGAAGTCATTTAAAGCAACCTCATAAATAAAGAAAATTTTTATTTATTTTTAAAGAAAATGTTCCTCTGTTTAACCCCGTATTAATCCTCAGTTTACTCTAATCAAGGTTAATATATAGGTAAAGTAGAACCTTTAGCAGGTATAAGTAGTATATACAATTTTCTCTTAAATTTTAGGTTAATATCGAGGAGTTATGGTCTCTGAATGGCACCTTCTAAGTGAGTAAAAAAATTTGATTTATTTTGTTTTAAATAGAGTATGCATGTATTGTATTCATAATTTACTGAAGCAGCACCAACCTGCTGAAACAGTCCCCTAAGAGGGCACAACTCTCTCTGAATGCTGCCTCCAGCTCTTCTTTATCTGCGGAGGTTACCACGTCTGGATTCATTAGTACAGATCTCAGCAACAGGTGAGCCTCACTGAGAAGATGGATACTGCCCTGAGTTTTAACAGTCTCATATCTCTTACTGTAGTCCACCTATTGAAAAGGTAAAGAGATGGAAATAGCCAATTATTGAATTACATTAGTTACTAAAGTTTTAAATCAGTGCATGATTCAACAAAATGTTTTGTGTCCATGAACTGAATATCTATGGTAATCACAGCACCATTTTTTTTTTTGAGTTGTGTATATGTGGGAGGGGACAATTTGCTTGTACAATATTTTGCATTCTTTAGTTGTTTGTCAATCTAAAGGTTTGTAAGTCTAGATTGTACGGTAAATGTGCAATCCAGTTGTAACAAGCGTGGCCAGCTTTACTCTCTTCTTGGCCTGTTTGGGCCCAAGCATTTTTGCAGTATTTTCTTTGTAGCTTCTAATGAATTCCTAAGCCCCAGTCCACACCAAATGCAACACTGAAATTGTACTACTTCACTTACAGTAGAGCAATTTCTAAGCCGTGGACCTGATGCGATTTCATATGCGGCTTGCCAGATATCAGTGAGACTTTGTGCACAGATGTCAATGCAAGCCACACCTGAAATTGGCAAAAATAGTGCAGGAACGGTTTTCAAAATCGTTGGAGTTGCACCAATTTGAACAGTTCCATTGCTGACAATAGATTGCGACTTGTCATGCGATTTGGAACTGTCAACTCACATGACAAGTCGCACCAGTGTGAACCAAGGCTCATAGGCATACACAAGGATCCTTCTTTACAACTCTTTAATCAAAGTTAAAGCTGTCCGCTTCATTGAAATATAAGACATAAATGGCGATAACTACTGCAGGGTGACTTAAGAAGCAAGGCTCTCAGTGAAGCCAAGTATCTCACCAGCAGTACAATGCAAAACAATACACAGATTAAGCAGGAGTTTGGGTTCAGCAAACATTTCACAGATAACAGAAACAGAGTTTTATTGGCATTGAAACCTTGCTACTTAAAGTGTAGGACCCTGCATTCACTATATCTGGTCTCCCACAGTGCACAGAACATGGAAATGCAAATATTTTAGTAAATATGAACTGCTAAATACCTTTTCTCATCAGCAGTTAGAGCAGTCTTGTGACTTCTATCAGCATCCAGCAGAGCACATGTTAAAGCTTGTAGAAGGAGTTAAGTTTTTTTTTAATTTTGCTCTAGAATGATGCAGAACCCCTGACCTCTGTCTGGACAGTGCTAATTGGCCCTGTGCTCCTCACATGCACTCTCTCAAGAAAAAAAACCCAAAAACCTCTCTAGCAATAAACACCAAACTGAGCATGTGCAGCGTGACTCCACACAATATGTCTCATCAGGAGGTAAAAGGGGGACACTGGAAGAATGGGAGGATCAGACAAGCCAGGATCAAGTCAGGATCAAACTGTGGTTTTACAAAATGCAGAGGATTAACCCCTTAGGTTTCACAGTGAGAACAACAAGCATGCTTTTTTGCTTATACAGACTGATTTTACTATTGTGGGTTTAGTAACACTAAGATTTCATAAGTTATGCTACCTTTTTTGCAAATCAACTTAAATAGTACTAAATGGAAACCTGCAATGAAAGGAACAAGAGGTTAATGTTCCTTAAATGCATTTTTTGGCTGCCCTAATGACCGAAAAGATTTAATACTTACTAGTAACTTAATTGGAACAGGTATGTTCTGTATACACGAAGATCTGACCTCACTCTAACTAGATCTGCTGCATATATACAGTAGTTTTCTTTCAGTGAAAAGTGTAATTTTTCTCACAACAGATAACATTTCAAAACAAGGGCCAGTGTTGATGGGCTTTTGGGCTGCAAAGGCAGGGTGCTTTTGACATCGGTTTGAGATGCTTCTGAGATCCTCCAAGGCCTAATTCATACTATATGGGGAGAGGAGCAGTTCTCACCAGAACAAAAGCCTTTGACTCTGGGCCTAAACCTGGGTTCAACCTTTTGCGGTGTGGGACACTGCATGTGATTCAGATAGGAATCGCACAACATTCCTATTCAAATCACATGCAATTCTTTGCAGTGAGATTTAAGCCCATTCATTTTTTTTGATGCACTAGAATCAGATAGCATGGGTGTCCATGCCGATATCCGATTCAGGCACTGCAATTTGTGGCCTGTTTTTTGGTGTTATTTTAACATTGGCACCAACAGCGGATCACATGAACATGGTGCAATTTCAGTGGGACACACAGGATTTGCTGCGTTTCCTGCACCGCATACATGTGAACTGAGGCTAAAACTGGAGTATATCTTCTAGCATTGTGTATTTTGAAGGAATAAATACCATTTCTCTGTAGAGCTGGACAGGTGGTGTAGTGCTCACAATATAGAGATTCCAGCCATGTTCTCTTTCTGATGGAACCTTGGCCTTTGTACTTCCTGACTTTCTGCTACAATGTAAAAATAAAAAGGTAAAAAAAGTAATTTAGAAACTAAGAACAAACAGTAATAATATAGAGAGAAAAGAACAGTAAAATTATACGCTGCTAGACACTTAAGTCAGAGTGTAGACTCCTCAATTCCTGTAATAAAACTACATTCTCTGCTCATCATAAGCTCATATACCTTTTTACTGAAGATTGTAGCTGAAGCTCACAGTTAGGTTTTTTTGTCTGTGCAACCCTGGTGGTTAGGAATAGCCTTTTGCTGAGACAATGCATTTCAACATAAAACGCAAATGCAGAGAAACCTATTAATTAAAATATTTTTAAAGGATTAAAAACCAGGGGCAGAAACATGGTTTATCTATTGAAGTCACCAGATAACACATTTTCCTAAAGACATCTGTCATGTTACACATGCGTTGTTGTAGGTTTGCCTTTAAGTTCATCCCTACATCACCCTGTACCTAGGGCATGCTTCATGTAGTTTGTTCCACCCTTCTTTTTCAGTCTCAGTTCTCCACATGCACTGTATTCTGCTGAAGCTAGACACGCTATGATTTTTTTTTTTACCTATCTGGTGTTCATCTGGTATGATCTGCACAAGTTTTGGATTAAATCTTTCATTTGCTGGATGTCATTTTGATCGAGTCACGGTCTTCTAATTCTACTGAGAATGTAAGTTAGATGGGAGCTTCCTTGGCTGTAAATATGGATGGTTTAGTTTCTCTCTAAGACAAATAAAATCAATTTTTCTTTTTAGTTGGGAAAATAGGAAATATTGCTGTACAGTCTCCTATCCAGCCAAGAGGTGAAACAATAGTCTCCTTTTAAAATGTGAAGAACTGTATCACATTTTGGTTTGCTGGCCTAAACCCATTGTTTACTAAATTGAATCAACTATTCTTACCTCATCATTATCTTACAGTTTGAGAGCCCTTGCTCTCTGTATGGGAGCAGTGGTCTCCCTGCAGGGGACTAACATGACCTATACTTAGGTAACTTGTATGCTCTGGGAAAAAGGGATGGCCACATCCAGATTCAGTCCACATCTGCAAGACTGTGAGAACTATGGAGACCATATATACCAACTATATTCTCTCTTTTAACTACTTGCCTACCGGGCACTTATACCCCCTTCCTGCCCAAGCCAATTTTCAGCTTTCAGCGCTGTCGCACTTTGAATGACAATTGCGCGGTCCTGCAACACTATACGCATATGAAATGGTTATCAATTTTTTCACACATATAGAGCTTTCTTTTGGTGGTATTTACTCGCCGCTGGGTGTTTTATTTTTTTGTGCTATAAACATTTTGAAATAAAAAAAAAAGTTTTTTCTTTGTTTCGATTATAAAATTCTGCAAACGGGTACTTTTTCTCCTTCACTGATGGGTGTTGATGAGGCTGCACTGATGGGCAATGATAGGCAGCACTGATATGCGGCACTGATGATGCTGCACCAATATGCAAAAATAATGGGCACTGATAGGCAGCACTGATGGGTGACACTGACTGGCAGGCACTGCTGGGCAGAGGTGGGTGGCACTGCTGGGCACTAATCATCAGTGCCGATCCGTCCTCTGAGAATTGCCAGTTACAGTACTTTCCTCACGCTGTGACAAAGTGAGGAAAGTGCAGCCGATAACCGGCAACTGCATTTACCGGTGATCTGCTGTGTCATGGCTGATCACATTGGAAAAGGCTGCTGTGATTGGCCTTTTACCACATCAAGTGATCAGCTGTGTCCATAGGGTGTCATATGACGCCCTCCCAGAACTGGCCGGCCATGGTGAAGTTGTCATTCGGCTATCTGCGGTCAGCAAGTGGTTAAACTAACAATGTTGTTTTATTGTGAAACTGCTAATAGTACTTTGTTTTTGTTTTTTTTTTTTTTTCAAATAATTTAACATTGATTAAAAAAAAAAAAAAAAAAAAAAAAAAAACTGAAAAAGTAAGCTTACGACGATCTCTTTGAATTCTTCCCCTTCTCCGGCACATCTTCAATATCTGCCTTTGTCAAGATAACTAAATAGTTTTTAAAGTGCTGAATGGCTTTCAGTCCTATAAAGAGCTGCATTCTTAGTGTGCAAACATCCATAGAGACAGGTGGGCAAGTCTGGAAACAGTGAGACAACAGTGAATACATTAACAGTCTTTATGGGATGCTGACAGAAAAGCAGATATTTTAAACCACTTCGCCTCAAAGTACAATATATTGGAACATAAAACTTGTCTATAAAATTTTAGATTGTCTAAAAGATCAAATGTCACTTGCCAATAGCTGTCCTGCTTGTGCCATATATCAGCATAACAAAAAACATTCAAACAGAGGTAACCAGTCAGTTTCTAGCTTGCGATCCAACCTCTAAGGATCTAGTATGTCACTGCATTGTATGTTACTTGACCATAGCAAGCTTTCAAAGTGAGAGGTAACAAAAAAACTGGAACAAATGTGGTTAAAGCACAATTTTCTACCTATCCTGCATACCCTCCTGTGTAAATAAGATCTGTATACTTACCTTTTTTTTAATCTAGTCTGGTCATATGATTCCGCAGCTCCATCTAGCCTGTGCAAAGGAGTACTCGATAAAAAGGTTGTGATCTCCCGAAGCCTTGATGTAATCCATAGGCTCCCGTGGCCCAACCATAGTTGGCGCTCCCCCCTGTCCTTTGCACCAGTCACTCACTGACACAGAGGAGCCAAAAGATGCAGGATCATGTGACCAGACTGGAGTGGATTAAAAATAATAGGTAAGTACACAGATCTTTTTTCCTTTTTTCTACAGGGTATGCAGGATGGGGGGGGGGGGGCACTTTTAAGAATAGTTAGCGTTAGCTTTTTTATCCACTCTAAAGCAGTATTACACCCAAAACCAAAAATGTAATATATTGCAGCTTACCAATCCTTATATGTGGTTGTATTAGTTTTCTTTTTTCCCTCTGTTTTGACCTGGTGATCTACCCAGTAAAACATGTCCTGCATTACAGTGTCCCCACTCTGAATGAAGGAGCACGGGCATTTTTGGACAGCAGCATTGTCAGTCTGGGGTAAAGGGAGTGTTTGATGGACTAGAATTTTTAGATTTACTAAAAACGGACACTAAATTCAAGCTCACACTTTATAAGCAGTTTCAGCAAAAAGTTTTTCTTTTCTTGGGATAAAGGTTATACATAATTAAATAAAAGCTGGTAATTGTAAGCACCCCTGTCAGTGGCAAATGGTATGTTCTTATAAATCTAACTGCTGCAACTGCAAGAGAGCTTCTTTTAAAACAAGTTTGCTGTTGGGTTTAATTTCAATTTAAATCTGTCAGACATGGAAAAAATGACCCACAGAGCCAGCCTCATAAAATAAAGTTAAAGTAATTGTAAATGTTTTGATTTTTTTTTTTTTAAATGTCAAACATGCTATACTTGCTCTGTGCAATGGTTTTGCGAACAGCAGCCTCAAACGTCCCCTTCTCAGGCCCCCCCCCCCCCGCCGCCAATTGCCCCCATAGTAAACTGCTTGCTATAGGGGCACTCGTGCAAACTCACTCCTGAGCCTCTCTCTGTGTGACAAAGGGTCAGGGGTTATGCAGCATCATAGGACATTTAGAGGTGTATGAAAACTCTTCCTACAGGCATTACCAGTATTCTGCTGGACACTGATAGAAGCCACAAGACTGCTCTAACTGCTGATGAGAAAAGGTAATTAGCAATTAATTTTTACGAAAATAACTGCATTTCGATGTTCTGTTTACTTTTGGAGACCAGATATAGTGAATGCAGGGTCCTGGTTTAGTAACACTTTAATGCAGAGACTGCACTAGGTAGACACCTTCTGCCTTTAGAACCACGTTAAAAAGGGGCAGTGTTCCGACAATGTCCTGGGCAAGTCAGTCATGCTAATGTTAAAACAAAGACTGCCTTGCTGATAACATCTACATCCCACAGACCAGATAAACTACCATGGTACAAAGCATGACATAGCTAAATCACAAGTTACATACCTTCATAGTCGTGTCAATATAAGGATCTTCCTCCCGAACTGTTACTGCACTGCATCTTACCGTGAAACACTGCAAATTATTCCTGTACAAGCACAAAATATTGCAAATGATCTATACTATGTATTAAAAATCTGCATCAGAGGTTTTCAAAAACATGAATCTTCTAAAGATCCTTTCTTCTAAAATATTTGAATTATTTTTCTATTCACTCAAGCTGAAGGTGGGCATATCTCTGCTATTAGCTAAATGAAATGTAATGGTTTGTGGCATAATTTCTTTACTATAAAATGTCTGTAATTTAACTTTTTTTTATTAAATATGAAATATTACATAATGATATTCTGTATTTTGCTTTTCAGCCAGTAAATGAAGTTTTATGCTTCACACACAAGCCCACAAGCCAGAGCAGTGATTTATCATAAATTTTTATGTGACATCTGAGTCCCGAAACAAATACAAGCTAAAAAAAAAAAAAAAAAAAAAAAAAAATCAAAATCGACTAAAATAAAATAAATCCAAAAACTTTATAGTTTATATCTTTATAGACAGCAAAATACCTTGTGATGACATGTAGTAATTGAGGAGTAAGGACAGCCTGCTGGGACCTCTCTGGGTAATGATAAACAGAAATCAGCTGTACAGTGTTTAATAAACTGTACAAGTAGCCAGCATGGGGCATGGAGAAGAAACAAAACAGGCTTAGCAGGTCTTTTTTGGTGTTGCTAGCATCTGCGATAACATGACTTCCTGTTTCAAACACAAAAACAATTTTAGCAGTTATTTCTTTTTTTTTTTGCACCAACAAAGTCATAGTAATACACTACTAATAAATGAAGGCCACAATTCCATCACAAAGGGCTTTTCAAATGCAAATATGAAGGCAAAGAACTGTTCTTGCAACTAATGTCTTAATTTATTAAATTTGTGGAACTTAGTTTATATAGAGGCCATTTTACATATAAAGCCCTATCCTAAGAGCCATGGCACATTAAATCTGCAATGCAAAGTGCCTTTAGGGAGCTTGCTCTATTAGATGGCTTGCAAAACAAAAAACATCTGTATTACTCTGATTTCAGTTTGAAAAGCCAAAAGCAAATCTTTCTGTTCAGCTGAAAGGACATTGGAACAGTGCACTTAAAGCATGTTAAAATGGATCTTCAAAAACACAAATATTATGTGTCACTTTAGAGAAGTAAGGGTTTCTGAAAAAAACAAAAAAAAAACAATATACATACTCATCTCCATGCTGCAGCATCTTGTGACACTGCAGTTGTCGCACGCCAGCTCCAAGATTAAGAACTGAGCAATTACCTGACTGCTGATCAGTCAGCTCTCTGTCTGCAGGAGATCAAAAGTGAATGCACTCCTGTGACCCTAACAAGTAGTATCACTAAAAAAAGATTTAGCCTTTTAAGTACACCTGCTATATGACCATATATAAAAAAAAAAAAAAAAAAAAGACTGCAGTTGGATACCAGCACTGTATATTACATACAAATACAAACGTCTTGAAAGTCAGCATTGGCAGAACCTTACACTTGTGACAATTTTCAAGCCTGGTAATTAGGCTCTCAGACACGAAGCACAGCCTTTATCAAGGTGAAAGAAAAAGACAGGTGCGTCTACCCAATCCACAACCAGATGTCTTGGTTTTCATGAAGCCCTGGGAGCAATTTGGGGAGCTGGTGTAGAACAATATACATATGCTCTACTACTTTATGATGCTTGCTACTGTGTACACCTACACTAGATGTTTAAAGTGGTTCTAAAAGCAGACGGGATCAAGATTAGGACCCCCCCCCCTTCAGCACCTCCTTATACTTACTTGAGCCCGATCTTGATCCAGCAATGTGCATGAGAGCAGCGGCTCCGTCCCTAGTCATTGGCTCAGAGAGAGCAGCAGGAGCCATTGGCTGCTGCTGCTGTCAATTACAGCTAATGAAGGGGAGCAGGGGCAAAAAAAAAAAAAAAAAAAAAACAACATTCACAATCACTTTCAGCTGTGTGTGGTAAAATAGTGTAACAAAAGTCTTAAATAAAGCCTGTTCTGTATCCCAAAGTATTGACGCTAATAGAAGAGCGCTGACATCCAGGCAACCAACATTTTTTAAAAGGATATGCTGCAAGGTCATTACATATTTCCTCAGTACAGTTTTTTTTTTTTTTTTTTTTTTTTTTTAAAGGGAAAGTACAGTGTATTTTCAGCGAGCACATAGTTTGTTATACTTACAGGGATTACCTTTATGGACTTATTTTTACAAATGTTAGAATTTTTAGACTAGCCTTCAGGAGGTAATTCTAAGCATTCAATTATTTTGTCTCAATTCTATCAACTGCTGAGATACCAGCTCCATAGGGAAAACATTTTTAATTGCATTGATTGACTCAGATTTGCTATGTAAGAAGGAGCAGGTAGATTACAACGACTGAAAGGCTAGAAATAATTCATGTACAATTACATATTATACATGAAGTTTTAAAAAACATAAAGCACAAGGTGATGAGATTATTTTCATTAAACTGATCTATTTTACATCTAACCTCCCTCTACCTCTGTGTATCCAATCTCATGAAAATGTAGTCAATCTTTGTACTGCAGCTTCTGCTCCTTTGCAAACATGAGTTCCATCCATAGCAGTCTACTGAGGAATCTTCTAACACACAGATCAGAATACAGACAGCAAACTGTTACATTGGGTGAAACAGAAGCAGACGGGTGAAGAAAAGAAAGGACACAGAGTCAAATCAGATCAACAACTAACTTGTATAAAACTCAATTAAACTTATTTTAGACAGTAAACTACAGAAATAATACAAATAGATTAATCTACCTGTTTTGTACATGGGCATAAGTTGTAAGGAATGTAATCTTGTATTTTCAACACTGAAGCCATCTGCAAAATCTGGTGCAAACCTCCTATGTAAAAAAAACAATTTATTAAAACACTTTATAATTTTTGAAAGTTTGTCAAGTAAAGGCACCTATTGTATCTAAAAAAAATGCAGCATTAAAACACAAAATAGAAAATCTCTGCAGGGTTCTTGGTTATAAAATGTATATCTATATGTTACTTCTTCCCATTATTGTGAAAAACACTTGAAAGGCACACAACAGCTTTTCACACCCAAGTTAGAAAATCTTTGCTGCAACAAACTGACCAATCCTGGTCGGTATACTATCTGCATGGTGTTCACATGTTTTCTTTGCGTTTGTGTGGGTTTCCTCCAAGTATTCCAACTTCATCCCACATGCCAAAAACATGGTGGTAGGCTAATTGACTTCTTTCCAAATTGGCCCCAGTATGTGAATGTATGTATGTATGTATGTATGAATGTATTTTAAGGAGCTTAGGCTGATAGTTCCTTGACGGCAAAGACTAATGTGAATGTATAGTATGTAAATGGGTTGCATAAAATTGTCAGCACCATATATTGTAAATACCTGTAATAAATTAAATATTAAAAATGTACCAATGCTAATAGTTCTACATGTTTTCTTTCAAAATAATCCTTGAAGTTTATACGGTTGCTACCAAACAAATGTATAAAAGTAAAGTTACCTATTTTGTTGTAGTCTGGGAAATCTGTGTTGTGCATTTACTATACTGAAAATACTGTTTGTTTTTCTGGTTCAACAGTTTCTATTGCTGTGGCAAAAAATACAACACAGATCACCCACGCAGGGGAGCTTGATGAAAATCCAGTCAAACATGCATGGATGGAAAAATGTGCAACAAACAATTCAACAAGGATAATGGCCAAAAGGCGAACGCATGAGGAAACTGGTCGCTCTACATATATTTCCTGGGCCCTTGGGCCTGTGTGTATACTCTGTAGAGAGAACAGAGGTAAAGGATGAAGAAGAAAAGGGCGAACCAAAAGACGGTCCTAGGAAGGCGTGAAATGAAAGAAGTAGAGGGGGGGGAAATGGGGGGGGGGGGGGGGGGAGTTGGACGGTACGGAGGCAAGTCCTGCAGGCTAGGGTGAGGTGTATCAACCGTTATACCCTAATAAGTTGGTCAGGTGCAGTGTAGGGAGAGCATACGACCACTAGGGGGTCCAAATTTTCAGAAATTTAGCATGCATCATGCAAGATGCTAGACTTATTTACCATCAAGGTGGTTAGAATGTTCTACACTGCTGCAAATGACACCGAGGGTGATTTTCAAGCCCGATCTATGGCCTGCTTTGTGGCAATGAGGAGGTAAGTAGCAAGTTTTGTTGGTGTGAAAATAGGGCTGGGACAGGGCAGTGTAACAGTGCCAATTTAGCGTCTTTGCAGATTGGGATAAGAAATAGCATATAAAGAAGGCCAAAAAAAACCAAGACCAGAACCTAGTTAACAGTGGATATGACCATCAGGTGTGAAGCACATCCCCATGTTGGCCACAGCCTCTGAAACACCTGTTATTGTAAGAAGGGTTTAAACCTGCAATGCAGGCCGGGATCAATTACCACCTCAGGAGGACCTTATACTGTAGGCTGCCTCCAGCGTGGTCAGATTGAAGGAGCATTTTGCTATTGACGACCAGGCTTTGTTCCAGTCTTCAGGGCCAATGAAAGACCCCAAGTCACCCAACTGAATTTATAAGAGGTAGAAGGAGAGGGGTTAAACAGCGTTCAAGGAAGAGTAGATAGAGGAGATGGTGCCCAAAACCCCGGGGTAAGGTTGACAGAAATGTTCAAAGGCCGTAGTTTGGTATGGGAAGGTGGAATTATGTCTCAGGGAGGTCACCCAATGGCAAAGCTGTACATAGCGAAAAAATTCCACAGGTGGGGCAACATGGATCTCCTGAATAGAGGTCCAAGAAGAGAAAGCATGGGAAGTGAGAAAGCTGCGGACCTGTGTGAATCCATGAGAGGACCACACGTAAATGCTCTAGGCTGATCTAGGCCTGAGGAAAAAAGGGGGTTATTGAGAAGGGGCAGAAAAAGGGGCATAGGTTACCTGAGTAACTAATGGAGTCCCAGATGTGCAGGCTATGAAGCTTTTTTAGGGCTAAGTAGAGAAGGGCGAAGTCTATGGGGGAGCCAAAGAAGCGCCACCATAGAAACTGGTGCACAATTGGAGAGCTCCAACAAAACCCAATAGGGGGTATCTATTGTGGCATGGAGGAGGGTGAGCTGAGAAATTTGTGCCGCCGTGTAATATTTGGTGACATTAGTGGCTCTTAATCCTCCACACAATCTGTGGGTATACAGGGTGTGGCGTGATACTCTGGGGCGCTTGTATGCCCAAATGAAAGAGAGAAGTATTTTCCATATCAGTCGCAAGTAGAAGGAGGGTACCCGGACTGGTAAGGTTCTGAAATAATATTTTGGGGAGTATGGTCATTTTGACTGCGTAAATGCGCCCAATTTAGGATAAGGAAGGGAACTGCCAGGATTGCATAAGAGAGGTGATATTTCTCATAAGTGGATAATAATTGGTTGCAAAGATATTGGCATAAGAAGGAGTCAACTTGACACCCAGATTGTCCAGGGAAGAATCACCCCAATGACAGGGGTAGCTCACCTGAATGCGTGTTAACATAGAGGAAAGGAGGGAAATATCCAGAGCTGTTGTTTTCTGGGGGTTGAAGCGGACGCTCTACAGTTCAGAAAAGCGGCAGAGAATAGATTGCAGAGTTTGGAGAGTGGTAATAGGATTGGTTAACATTAAAAAGGCATCATCTGCGAATCAGTTCACCGTAATGTATGGCTGCGTAATCAATACCTGTGGCATTGGGGCTATCTTGAAGCGCTATGGCTAGGCATTCAAGCGCCAGGTTGAATAAAATCGGGGATAGTGGGCACCCTTGTCTGGTGTCTCGATAAAACAAAAATTTAGTGCTACGGCATATCATGATGTGATATTTCACCAGTAGTTACTCTAAAATGCACTCCCCAATATGTGCACAGTAAAGTGGAATAAATATAATGAGCAGTCCTATCTTAGCCCAAAAGAAGTGAACAGACAAATGGAATACACCTACTTTTGTGCATACATCAATAAGGATTATCAAAATTTAAATATATAAAAATACACTTTAAATCAATCAAATATTGTTTTAGGATTGCTCTAAAGTGTATTCTTATATATTTAAATATGATCATCTTTATTGATGTATGCACAACAGTAGGTGTATTCCATTTGTGTATTCATTTTTTGGGGGGCCAAAATCATGCTGCTCATTAGATTAATTACACTTTTGAGTTTTGTGAGTATAACCTCTCACCATTTTTCTTACCGACCTTTGAGAGTTGTTTCCTTTGAGTTCAGATCTGCCAGTTCAGAATTTATTCAGCTTTCTGACATATCTGCAGTTGCAGGGTTCTCTGCACAGACAGTTATTTTAAAGCAGAACTAAACCCATCACTTCACCTGTTTCCCAAAACAGTTACAGTACATTCAAGACATGCTCTAAATTATAACCATCACAGTTGCTCGTGCTATCAACCAAACTGAAATGGCTGACATCATAATCATCACATGTGCAGCATATTGGCAACTGCAGTTCAAACAGAGGCTATGATGGCAGCTTTTTTGGCTTTAAAACAATAGGGGGGTTTAGTCCCATTTTAAACTGTTCTCACAAATCCTTTAATTTTTGTTTTTTCACTTTACCTTTATTACATTTTCTTACATACAACAAAAAGTAACCCAAGTACATACAAGGTGTGTCTAAAGAGTTCAGTGAATGGTCCGATATCTCAACAGAAACATGGGCCAGGTTCATTCGGCATGAACATGGCTATCCAGAGACACACCTAGAAGTGCCACCTAGCGTGGAGTACACATGACCGCCAGGGTAAACCCACTGGCAGTTGAATGTAGTCAGTGTGAGAGAGGTAGGGTCAATGGAGCAACAAGTAAACTTCAAGTTCTGCTACACATTAGAGAAAACGGTGACAGAGGTGCATGAAATGTTGGCACAAGTGTATGGGACAAAAGCCGTGAGCAGAAAATGTATTTGCATTCAAACGCTTTCACAACGGGAAGGAAACAACTGAGGATGAGCCACAATTGGGTCGGCGGTCAACAAGCAGAACCCCATACATGATCAAGCGACTGTGACAAAATGCTCGCACAACATCAGCAACTGACTAAGAATGATGGTTGAGGAATTGGGCATTAACAAGGACATGGTGCGCACCATCGTCCACTAAATTTGGGTAAGTGGAAAATCTGTTCCAGGTTTGTGCCACACAAGCCGACAGATAAACAGAAAGAAAAACGGATGGAAACCTCTGGAGATTTCATTACCATGTGTGACCAGGATCCATTCTTTCTGCGAACCATTGCCACAAGGGATGAGATCTGGTGCTACCAGTTTGATCCGGAATTCAAAAATGGCAATTGATGAAATGGCATTCACCATCTTCCCCATGACGCAAAAAGAGTCGCCTGCAAAAGTCCAAAGTCAAAACAATGTTGATCGCCTTCTTCTACAAAATGATGACATCATCCATAAGGAGTTCATCAAACCGTGAACACCACATTCTGCTAGGAAGTTTTGAAATGGTTGCTACAACCCATCCGCCATGTTCGGCCAGAGTTGCACAGGACTGGACAGTGGATGTTGGTGCATAACACGCCAGCACACTGTGCGACCCATCTGCAAAAAATTCTTGGCGCAGCATACCTGTTCTCGATCATTCACCATACTCCCCTAATCTGGAGCTTACAGACTTCTTTCCATTTCCCTGCCTGAAGAGCATCACGGCATGAACCCAAGAATGTGTGACTGTGGTTCTGTGATCGATTCTTAAAGAGGCCTTTGCTGACAGTTTCCAAAAGCTTTATGAATGTTGCCAAAAGTGTGTTATAAAGGATGGCAATTATTTTGAAGGCCAATAAAAAGGTATTTGTTTGTTTCTTCCTATTTGTTTTTTTTATATATATCACCTTCAGTTCCAATTAAACTTCTTCCCGTTGGACTGCATCTACAGTATTTCCAAAACCTCTGTCC